TTATAATTTTGTCCATAAAGTCCTTACATATATTTGGTTAGTCTTCTTCTTAGGTGCTGTCTAGTAGTGTGTGTAGCTGTTGTGAGTGCAGGTTTCTGGTTTCTGATGTATGAGGATATCAGAGTGGTACTGACATGCTCTATACTGATCTCCTATGTGGCAGTCCTGTCCAATTTGCATCATTCCAGCAGTAGGTTGATCATCTTGGATTTTCTCTATGGATGCTCTTATCGTTCTCTTAATAATGGGATTTTTCCCATTCTCTTCCAGTCCTTATGGCTCATATTTCTTTTTGGTCTTGGGCCACACTGGGAACCACTGCTGGGTGTGTAGTATGTACTTAGTTCCCATTTCTGTTCTTCTTTTTAAAATATATTTTATTGATTTTTTTACAGAGAGGAAGGGAGAGGGATAGAGAGTTAGAAACATCGATGAGAGAAACATCCATCAGCTGCCTCCTGCACACTCCCTGCTGGGGATGTGCCCGCAACCAAGGTACATGCCCTTGACTGGAATCGAACCTGGGACCCTGAGTCTGCAGGCTCACGCTCTATCCACTGAGCCAAACCGGTCAGGGCCCATTTCTGTTCTTAAAAGAATTTCTTTTTCTTTCTCTGTGGCCCCCCAGACCCCCATATTGGCCTTGCCAGATGTTTGTGTGTTATTAGCAATTTTAAGGAACCAATGCTGAGATTATTTTCTTAGTGAGATTGTTTTCTTTTCTTTCATCATCTTTTCCTGAGTTGCTTTCTTATACTGTGCCTGATTTCTTGTTAAATGTTTAGATTATTTGCATTTTTGTAATGACTACTGATGTTGAGCATGTTTTCAGCTGCTGATTGGCCATTCATATGTCTATTCAGTTCCTTTGCCCATTTTTGAATTGGGTTATTTTGTTTTTAAATATATTTTATTGATTTTGTACAGAGAGGAAGGGAGAGGGATAGAGAGTTACAAACATCAATGAGAGAGAAACATCGATCAGCTGCCTCCTGCATACCCCCTACTGGGGATGTGCCTGCAACCAAGGTACATGCCCTTGACTGGAATCGAACCTGGGACCTTTCAGTCTGCAGGCCGACGCTCTATCCACTAAGCCAAACCGGTTAGGTTAGGGCAAGACTTATATTTTTGATATTTATTTTATATATTTAAATGCCATTTAACAAAGAAAAATCAACCAAAAAAATGAGTTTGCGTGTCACCTCTGACACGCGTGTCATAGGTTTGCCATCACTGCTCTAGGCTCTCCTTGAGTCCCCCTTGGAGGTGGCTGTGTATCCTGTGCCCCACCCCAGCCTGTTCCAGTTTTCTGTGTCCTTCCTATACCTGAGGACTGAGCCTCTCCTAGACCCACTGGGGTTGTGGGATGTTTGGATGCCCACCTCATAGGGGTGAACGGCTCCCTAGTGGCTGTACCTGTGCAGATTCCTGTGAGCACACAACACAGTCACACAGAAACTGAGTCCTAGGCAGGTCTTCCTGCTGTGATTTCATTTCATTTATGCAATGAGCCTATGACATGGACGAGAACCTGGAGGGAAGTGACTGAAGTCAGAGCAGTTTGAGGCAGGCCTGGGCTCCCACCCACTGTTAACCCCCATGCAGAAAGGGCTAACCTGACCCCCAGGAGAGGGCTGGCTTTTTCCTGGTGGTGTTTACTTGTACCCTAGGGCCACGGCCGATAGTTTGATAACAGTGTGATTTATGGTTGGACTACTGGCAGGGCTGCAGTCTGAGGTCAGTCATGCAGGCAGTCAGGTAGATTGATGTCACCAAGCCAATAAAAACTGGATGCCAAGGATCAAGTGAGCTTCCTTGGGTGGCAATACCCCTTGAATATTGTTACATATCGGCGCCTGGAAGGAAAAGCTGACTGTGACTTCCCAGGGAGAAGACAACAAAATCCCTGCATTTGGTATTTTTCCTGGATTCTGCCTCATGCGATCCCTTGGCTAATTGATTTTAATGTCTGTTCCCTGTAATACACTGTAATCAGCTTTCAGGGTGAATTCTGAGTCAATGTAGCAAAAATTGAGGGTGATGTTGGTGACCTCTGAACTTGTGATTGGTATTAGAAGCGAGGGTAAGTCTTGGGGACCCCTGAATTCCATGTCAACTTCATTTCTCAGGTTAAAAACTTTTATGCATGACACCAAGCATTCCCCATACTCACCCAGGTGGGCCATGGCAGAGACCCCAGTGCTCCCAGTACCATCCCTGTGACCTTCCTCTGCCCTTGGCCAAGCCCACACCTGGGAAAGATCGCCCTGGGCCTCTGCCACCAGGCCCTCTGCACGGAGTGGCCTCGCTTCCCCAGCCTGTCCTCCAGGAGTGCCCCTGCCTCTTAGGCTGCAGTCATCTGCTCCAGAGGTGGATCATGCGTTGTGTCCCCACACCTGGTGAGTCAGACTTTATTAGTAACAGTAGCAGCCAGCACCGAAGCACCCATCCCTACACCTTCACAGCTCTGTGTTACAGAATACGTGTTCCTAATTGTTTGTTTGGAACTGGCACACGAGCCTTTCAGGTTTTCCTGGCAGTATTTTCCCTTATTTGTAGAAGCTCCTTATGCCAAAGTTACTGCTTTTCCTTCACCCACAAATATATTCTGCTCATTGCTTTTTTATTAGAAGGTATGTCAGGTTATAGTTACACAGAAACAAATTTCAGGTGGACTAAAATGTTCTCCAATAATAGAAAATTTGAAAAGAACTGTCAAATTCTTGCTAGCTGTAGGGAGAAATACTACACATTTAAATACATAAAATGTGCAGACTTTGAAATAAAAGTGTTGAATGCTTCCGACAAGTCAGAGCTGGGAAGTAATGGCTGAGAAGGCGTTTATCAGGGTGAGGGGAACCCCCGAGATCATCTTGGCCTCTGATGCCAGGGCCACTACATGATCCAGCAGCCGGTGTGCTGCCTCCCACTCCTGGGGCAGAAATGCACAGCCCAGGAGCCTCCCTAGGGAGAGGGCGCTGTGCTCACCTCCCAGCTCCATGGACAAGGAGCCTGATGCTCACCGAGTCCATGGCATCTGATCAAGAAAAGGCTAGCCCTAACCGGTCTGGCTCAGCGGATAGAGCGTCAGCCTGCAGACTCAAGGGTCCCAGGTTCAATTCCGGTCAAGGGCATGTACCTTGGTTGCGGCACATCCCCAGTGGGGAGTGTGCAGGAGGCAGCTGGTCGATCTCTCTCATCGATGTTTCTAACTCTCTATCCCTCTCTCTTCCTGTCTGTAAAAAATCAATAAGATATATTTAGCCGAAAATTATTAATAAACCAGATTCATTACAGTATGACAATGGATAATAGACTCTCGTGGAAGTCAAGGGCATGTACCTTGGTTGCAGGCACATCCCCACTGTGGAGTGTGCAGGAGGCAGCTGGTCGATCTCTCTCATCGATGTTTCTAACTCTCTATCCCTCTCCCTTCTTCTCTGTAAAAAATCAATAAAATATATTTAAAAAAAATTATTAATAAACCAGATTCATTACAGTATGACAATGGATAATAGACTCTCGTGGAACTAGGAATCCTATTTAATAAAGAACTAATATGCAAATGGTCATCATGCCCTCACACCATAACAGCTCAGACACTCAACACTGGGGAGAGAGGAATGGGGACCAGCCAGGCTGTGGCCTGGGAGAGGGACAATCCGCCTGCCCCGCAGTCCCAGGCACCGGCGCCTGCAGCCCAGGTGAAGCAGCCTGCCCATGGTCCCCTGCGGCTGCGGCCAGCCTGGGTCCTGGTTGCCTGCAGCTGGCCAGAGAAGGGAATCCTGGATTCTGGGTGCGGGGCAAGGCAGAGGTGGTTATGGGCGATCAGGCCAGCAGGGGAGCAGTTAGGGGCGATCAGGCAGGCAGGCAGAGGGGTTAGGGGCTACCAGAAATGCAGGCAGGCAAGTGGTTAGGAGCCAGAAGTCCTGGGTGAGAGGCAGTTGGACATCCCCTGAGGGGTCCTGGATTGGAGAGGGTGCAGGCCGGGCTGAGGGACCTGCCCACCCCCCACCCATGCATGAATTTCATGCACCGGGCCTCTAGTAAAAAAAATGAAACACAAAATCCCTTAAACTTAGGAACAGAAATATTTGATAGGAAAAAGAGCTACTTGAATTTGAGACGTTTGTTTTTAAAATAAGCACCAAATAAGTCTTTTAAGTCACATCTTTTGGAAACAGCGTGTGTAGCAGCACCCACTAGGTGCCGCAACTACGATGTCTGGGGCTGAGCAGAGCCTCCCACCTCCACCCAAAGGAGGCCCAGACACCCAAGACATCCCATGATTTCTGGGTTCTGTTGGTCATAAGGATGGGTTTTGAGGAAAAGATCCACTTTTGAGATGAAATTTTTAATAAAAAGTTAGGATATCCCTTCTGATCTTGAATGAATTTAAAGGCCCAAGTAAAGGTTTTCCTAAATTTATATAATTTCTCACTAATGTTTACTTCTTTTTTCTCTATACAAAACAGAAGATTCCACACACTTAGGATTTCCAGCCTTTTACATGATGCTACTTGGTGACACTAATATTTTATCCACAGATACTTAAGTGGTTTAACAGAGTACTGAAAATAGTCCAGCATTCTAAATGCAATAATTAGAATCATTGTGTTTAGGAAAGGCATGAAATGTTCTAAGAAGAAACCTTTATTTGGGATGTAAGAAAGTTTTATTGTGACAGTAATCTTTATGCCTTAATTTCCTTTACTTTCTCAACTTATTTTATTATTTATTAACATATTTTTATTGATTTCAGAGAGGAAGGGAGAGGGAAATGTCATGATGAGAGAAATCATTGATAGGCTGCCTCCAGAATGCCCCCCGCCGCCCCCCCCCCCCCCCCGGGATCAAGCCCGCACCCCAGACATGTGCCCTTGACCGGAATCAAACCTGGAATTCTTCAGTCCGTAGGCTGATGCTCTATCCACTGAGCCAAACCAGCTAGGGCTTAGTTTCTCAATTTAAACAAACTGTGTAATGTTAAAGAATTATGACTGTCTTTACCGAAATCCACTACAACTGTGATTACTCTCCAATATGACTCCAAGATGTTGAAAAAAATAAAGTCGGCACCTCTGAAGTTATTCCCCAGAAGTGATGAGCACAGCTTCTCCCTGGAGTTACTCTGTGATCCTCAATTACCAAAGGGCTTCCTATGCAGCTGACAGAGCTTCTAAGCTGGGGGCTTCCCGAGTGTGAGAGACTTGTGGTTGCCGAGGTCACAGCTTCTGGTGCACCTTCTGGTGCTGGATCAGGTGCCCGTGCTGGTTGAAGGCACGGCCACACTCAGCGCACTCATAGGGCCGCTCCCCCGTGTGGATCCTCTGGTGCTGGATGAGCACCGAGTACTGGCTGAAGGCCTTCCCACAGCGGCTGCACTCGTAGGGCCTCTCGCCCGTGTGCGTCCTCAGGTGCACGATCAGTGTGGCTTTCAGGCTGAACGCCTTGTCGCACTGTGTGCAGCAGAAGGGCCGCTCACCTGTGTGTATCCTCTCGTGCTGGACCAGAGACCTCCGGGCGCTGAAGGCATGCCCGCACTCGCTGCAAACGTAGGGCTTCTCCCCGGTGTGCACCCGCTGGTGCTGGATCAGGTGGGAGTGCTGCACGAAGGCCTTGCCGCAGGCGTAGCAGCCATAGGGCTTCTCCTCTGTGTGGATCCGTTCGTGGTTCATCAGAGTGGAGCGGTGGCTGAAGGCCTTGCCGCACTCCCCGCACTCGTAGGGCTTCTCGCCTGTGTGCACATTGTGGTGCTGGATGAGGACGGAGCGGTCACTGAAGGTGCGCCCACACTCACTGCAGGAGTAAGGCTTCTCCCCGGTGTGCACCCGCTGGTGCTGCAGCAGCGTCCTCTTAACACTGAAGGCCCGGCCACACTCCGCACACTCGTGGGGCTTCTCCCCCGTGTGCACCCGCTGGTGGCTGCGCAGCACAGTGCTGTGGTTGAAGGCCTTCCCGCACAGCGGGCACACGTAGGGTCGCTCCCCCGTGTGGATCCGCTGGTGCTGAATGAGGTGTGAGAGCTGAGTGAAGGCCTTGCGGCACTCGAGACACTCATGGGGCTTCTCTCCTGTGTGGATCTTGTGATGCTGAGCGAGGTCTGAGCTCACACGGAACGCCTTTCCGCACTCGTTACACTCGTAGGGCTTTTCGCCTGTGTGGATCCTCCTGTGTTTGCTAAGGACCGAACTCTGGCTGAAGGCCTTCCCGCACACCCCACACACGTAGGGCTTCTCCCCGGTGTGGGTCCTCTGGTGCTGCAGGAGGTGGGAGCTCCGGCCGAAGCACTTCCCACACTCGATGCACTTGTACGGCCTCTCCCTGCCGGAGGCGGCCGGCTGCTGATGGAGTGGCTCGCTTGGGCTGGAGACCTGAACTTCAGGGGGGCCCACAGGACTTGGGCTCAGACAGAAGCTCTGTTCAGGTTTGCAACTTCCTTGATCAATCCACCCGGGGGGTGTTTTCTCCAGAATCACAGATAAATCCTCTGAAATGAATGGCTTCAGACTAATTTGGTTTCTTCCCTTGTTCTCACATTCTGAAACCACACATCCAAAGGGAAAATATTAACTCAAATGTTAACCCACTCAAATTTCAGCTCAGGTGTACCCCTGAAGGTGCCTGCCGAGGGATGGCCACAGAGATGTGGGACACTCGGCTGTGTGGGCTGAGAGGACAGAACAGCACAATGGTGTCAAACAAGAGAGGTGTCCAGGCTGAAAGGTGCAACCTCTAGCCTGAGGTCACTCCTGTGTGAAGTGCACTGTGGCCCATGGCAGCAGGTGACAGCCCAGCACGGCCTGAGCCCTGCCCTCCCTGAGTCCTCTGTGCACTGGGCTCCCAGAGGCCATTTGGAGCAGAAATAAATGCAGGACCATCTATGAGTTCAGGGAGCCCCACCAGACAGATGGCAATATACATGTACCGCACAGACTAATCCCAGACACAAGACCACAGACTTGTGCTCGAGGGGCTGTGAGCTCTTCATGTAGAGTGTGCTGGGGAGCAAGACAGCAGAGACAAGTCTAGGCCAGAGATGGAGCCTCTAGGGCAGTCGTGAGGACAGCAGATAAGTTTTATCTCAATAAAACTGGAGAAAATATTACACCTTTGTTGCTGATGAATAAAGTAAAACTGAGTTTGTCTCTAATTGATTAGAACAACCTGTTTCCAAGTAGACAATCATAAATACCTTTCTTCCTCTTTCCAATTTTTTTTAGCTTCAGTCTGGTGTGTGTGTGTGTGTGTGCATGTCTTAGTGTGTGGGACCCCAGCACGACATTACACAGACATGGGGATGGTGGGCTCCCTTGTTCATCGTCTCAAACAGTGTGCTTCAGCCTCACCACAGGGTCAGGTTAACCTCCTTCCACACTAGGGTGCTGCGCTCTTTTCTAAGTGAACCAGGTGACCTTCATGTTCTGCATCTCCCGGAAGTACGTGCTGGAAAGCAGAATCACAAGTGTGCACTCATCTCCAGTGGCCTCTCCTGGCTCAGTCCCGCCAACCCAGACTCCTTTCCTGGGAGAGGCCCAGGTGGAAGCCATCTGCTTACTCCCAGCCACTGGGACATGCTCAGCCCTCAGGGCAGGTGCGCCAGCTCCTCTCACTCACCTGCGCTGTCGCTGCCTAGGCCCCAGCTCTCCTTGGCCCCATGCCCGTCCAGCACCCAGGGCTCCTCCCCTCGCTCCAGCTGCGAGATCACACTGGGCTTGGTTCCTGGAAGTCCTGCTCACGGGAAGGAAGGTCTTTTGTCTAGAGCGTCCCCACCCCACCTGAGCAGCCTGCAGGTGGGAGACAGCACCAACCTCCCCGTGGAGCTGAGCACCCTGAGGAAAGTCCAAGGCCCCCGTGGTGTGGCCCCCCCCCCGGGAAGCTCACAGACACAGACTGGCCTGCTGAGGGGCCTTACCCAGCGAAACCACGTTCCCATAGGTCTCCATCATCACGTGTCGGTAAAGGCCCCTCTGGGCAGGGCCCAGCTGGTCCCACTCCTCTTGGGAGAGGAGCACGGCCACATCTTCGAAGGTCACCTTCACCTGAAATGACAGGGGCTGCTGTAGGTCAGGCTAAGTCTCCATGTCTAAGAAAGAGTGGGTGCAAGTAACATGGGCTGAGGTATACCCCCAAACTGGGGGAAAGCCCTATGGCACATCGGGGTGCCCTGGGAGCTAATGGGGTGACAGGAAGGGGCCATGGACTTCAGGGGATGTGCTGATGCTGAGGCTGCCATCAGGAGCCCTGAGCGTGGGAGAAAATGAAGCTACACAGGCCTCAGGGGCAGCTCACCTGGGGTCCTGCTGCTGGTGGCAGGAGGCTGGCTGCCGCCATTGTCCGGTCCCTGGAGTCTCTGAGGAAGATGGAACTCGAAGAAGCCTGTGGGGCTGAGAGAGAGGGGGGAGCACATGAGGAGCCTGGCCTTGCCCCACAGACTCTGACTTCTGGGAGCCCTGCCCGCTGTGAGGTCTGACCTGACTCTTCAGGAGCCACAGAAACACACCGTTCCTGGGAGGGGACCCTGGGAAGCTGGGGACACGTGTGCACCTGAGGACTCTGGGCCATCTGCCCCCGCACCAGGCCCCGCCCAGTCTGCGACAAGGGCCTATGCAAGCACATGTGCACAGGTGCCAAGCGGTCTTCTGGTCGGGTGTGGGTGCTAGGCCAGGCTGCCCACAGAGACAACCCCCGAAAGAGGAGAGGCTGGGAAGGGGTGGCTCTGCTCAAGGCCCACACTCCTGCAGGGACCCCACCCCGGCCCTGCATGCTTGGCTTGACCATGACCCTCCGTGGCTACACTGACACCTCAGCTACGCCTGGTTGTGCCTGGCAGCCTTGGTGCCTCGTGGGAGGTCGGGTTCTGATAAAGTGAGTCTGGAGTGACTCAGGAATCTGGTCTAAGCGTCTGACAGGGAGGCCTAGGCAGGTCCTGGACAACTGAAGCTGAGATATCTGTTACACTAAAGTGCTGGAAAAAAGGGGGGACCAGGAGCTGTCCTGACAGGAATGGGGTTCCCATTTTCTGGAGTGCTGACAGGGGTCTGCAACAGGACACAGAAGCCCAGCAGGCAGACTACACCAGGAACAACAGAGGCACCCATCTGGAGAATGCACTGTAGGCCACCTGGAGGGAGTGCCATAACCCTGCTTTCTCTTTAAAACACGAGATATGGGTGCCTGTTAATCCAGACACCTTTCCAGGAGAAACACTCTGAACTCACTGCAGCTGCCCCTCTATTCACCCAAAATGCCCATTTCCCCCAAACCTGTGTGTGTAAGTGCAATGCACCGCTAATAGGATTCCAATGAGTCTTCTGAAAGATGAATAAAAACACGGACAAGATCTAAAAAAGGGGACTGCAGAGAAGCAAAGCGCTTGGAACCTTTTATTATTATTATTTTGTTTTATAAGCTAAGCTTTAGGAACTTAACACCCTTGTTGGAACTGATGATGGTCTTTTTTTTAAGAGTTTAAAGTGAAAGTGAGTTTATTAGTGAAGCATGGAGACCGAGAGCAGGCTACTCCACAGGCAGAGCAGCCATTTCTGATGGTCTTAATGCAAGCATGCCTGTCCTTCCAAAGTCCCTACTCACGGTGACAAGCTGTGAGGACACCCTCTGAGTCCTCAGAACTCCCTCCCTCCCCTTCTCCTCCCACCCCCAGGTTTTCGTGCTGGAATGCCCTGTCCCCTCATGTCCATGGACACTGCCTTCCAGGGTGGAAGCACCTTCAGAAGAGGCAGTTCTGAGCCGAGTAAGTGACCACAACTATACCTGTAAGCTGCTGGATTCCCTACACTAACAACCTGTAATAGAAAACATGGGGAAAAGATTCTAGTCACAAATGGCCAAGGAACATGGTTAGCATAAACTTAGAAAGATGCTGCTGATCCTGCCCATTGCACCCGCAAAGCCTGGGCGAGAGCCAGGTGGGCCTGGAGGAGAAGGAGGCTCAGAACCGAGTGCAGGGCCCCATCTAGGACTCGAGTCGCTGTGGGGAAGACGATTCAGTACATGGTGCCAGGACAAAGGGCTCAGTGCTCCGAGAAAAACGAAACCACCTTTACACAAAGCTCAACAACTCTCTCAGAAAGTAGAGCCAAGGCAAAGAAACAAAAAAATAGGACAAAAAAGTCAGATCATCTCCTACTTTATACGGAAAGTCTAATTAATCCATTAGGCTAATTAATGAATAGGAATTAAAATTTTAAATTACATCATAAAATAACTTGAATAAAAACGCAGGTAAGTTTTCATTCATTTCAGTAGGAAGGGCCTTTCTAAATACCCGAAACAGAATGCCTGGAGGGCAGATCTGCTCACAAAATAAAAATTTTATGCACATCAAACGGGAGCAAAATCCATAAATGGGCCCAAAGACATGTAAGAATTTAATACACAATAGCAGTGGTTTTCCAAATCAATGAAAATATATTTTATTCATTAAGTAGACTTAGAAATAGCATGATTTAGAGGGGTGGGGGTGGGGTGGAGAATGAAGCTGGATTCCCAGGTCACCCCACCAAAACAAATTCCAGATGGATCCAACATTTTACAAGGATCAGAGAAAAACAAGAGTGTATTGTAAAAATTTTGGAGTGGGGAGAGCCCTTAAAACAACACAAAGCCTTAAAGGTAAATATTTGACCATTAAAAACTTGAAGTTTTCCATCTCAAAGAACCCCAAACCAAACAGAACGACCATTTGAGAAGAACGTTTTCAACGTAAATGGAAAACACGAGCTGGCATATCACAAAGGAAACACAGAGGCCAGAACACACGACAGTGTCCACGTCCTCTGTCTCCGGAACGGAAATGGAGACACTGACCTGGCGAGAAGGCGGCTCGTCGGGGAGGAGGCCCGGGCCTCGATCTCGTCCCCTCCCCGTCGCCCCGCCGGGGACCGGGGCTCACAGCCGATCGGGCCGAGAAGGCGGCCGGCAGCAGAGAAAACCCAAGCGCCGCGCGTCGGAGCCTCCGTTTAGATTAAAAACAAAAAAGCGCAGGTCGATCCCGAAAGGACACAAAGCAAATCAGCCGGGGCCTCCTCCGCGCGCACGGCAGCTACTCGCGGAAGGACTCCCACTTTTTATATTTACGACGTTTTTATTTTTCGGAAGTTATTGCCTATTATTGTCTACTACAATATTAAGCAAGTGATAAAAAAAGGGGAATATCTGCAAACTATGCTAGAAAACGCTGGTCTCATTCATTGAAAAAGGCTCTTACAAAGTAACAGGAAAAAGACGGCGTCAGTAGGAAAACGCAGGGAGGGTGTGAGATGCGGCGAGAAGCACTTTCGTCCACGGGCCCCTCAGGCGGTTTCCGGGGAGCCCGGCGCCCCCGAGGCCTACCACCCTCCCCGCCGGACCCGCCGCACCCGTCCGACCCCGGCAAGGCCCGCCGTCCGCGGGGCAGGGGCCGGGGAAGGGCCTCGGCGCGCAGGGGAGGGGAGTGGGGCCGGGGCGGGGCCAAGGTGGGGGTGGGGCTCGCTGGGGGCCGGGGAAGGGAGGGCACTGGCGCGAAGGGAGGGGGCAGTGCGTGTTCGTGGGGAAGCACCGGGTCCGTGCGGGGACGCGCCGGCTCCCGCATCCGTGAGGGGAGAGGTCCCGGCTCGCCCGCGCCAATCGGCCCTCACTCACCGTCCACACCGCAGCCTCACACCCCACGGGGCGGCCGTCCGCAGCTCCGGGACAAAGGGGACGCCCCGCCTCGCCTGTGCATCCCCCAATCCCTGGGGCCCCGCCTCCTTAGTCCCCGCCCACTCGCCTGGACCACCAATCCTAGAGCACGACATCTCCCAGCCAGACGTCGGCCCCGCCTCCTAAGTGACAGCGAGGCGCGCGCTCCGGAGCCAACTGGATCGGAGGTCTCTGCGCTGCCTAGAGAGGCCACCCGGCGCCGGGCCTCGTACTGGCCGTACTTCCGGCGGCCTCCAGGAGCTTCCGGTGCCCCCACCCACCCCGCCCAGCGCCAGCCCTGGGGACTAAGACACCTCGCTCGCGCCCGGCTTTTGGCCTCTGCGCTGGGGGGTCCCTCCTCCGCTGGTGCGGGTGGCCACTCCCTCCGTGACGTAGCTCCTGCCAACTGCTCCGTACCCAGCGAGGGCCTGGCGGTGGGCATGTTTGACAGCGACTGCCTCACTGGTGTTTACCGATCGGGGGGTGTGTGTGCGCCGTGCTCCCCGGAGGCGGTGGGCAGCACCGCGGCGCTGGCGCGCACTCCGAAGAGGCGGCCCGAGGGGGACGGTCCTGGCTGCCTGGGAGGAGCCGTGGGCCTGTTACCCGCCATCTGGCACATGTGCCGTGGGGCTCAGAGGTCTCAGGAGTAACTCAGCGGGACAGCTCGGTGCTGGAGGGGTTCGGTCCAGCCGAGGCCGAGGCAGGAGGTCAGTGGGAGGACGTGCGCGATTCTGTAGTTAGGCAGCCGGGGACACCGGGCCGGTGCTGCGCCAGCGTCCTCCTAACAGTCGTGAGCAGCAGTTTTCTCCAGGGAACTCCGTTTATCGCCCCCCCCCTCCCCCAGTGGAGCAACATCTCCGCTGCCGAGGACTGTGAAGCTCGGGGCCAAGGTCGTCCCAGACCCCGTTCCCTGGTTTACACTGCAGACCATTGGGTCATGTCCTCGCCCACTAGGTGTTAACTCCTCAAGCACAGCATTTGTCTATCGTTTCCTGCTGTATCCCAGTGAGGGCCAACAAGCACCCGCTGAAAAAAGCAAGGATCGAATTCAGGCTGGACGAGGAGAAATGTGAAGCCAGAGAGGGAGCACAGGGGTCAGCAGATTGGAGGCCTCCAGGAGGCAGAAAGACCAAGTGAGTTAGAGGTAGCAGGGCAGGTGCGGCATTTTCTAGAGTGCTACCTTGGGGACACAGGTTGGGGGCTGTTGGGGTGAGTGAGCAATGATGGGCTGTTTTTGATGGTCTCTGAGATCAGGGCAGGCAGCCCATTCTGGCCCAAGCCCATGGGTTTACCTTTTGCAAGCCTCCTACATCCTCTTTCCTCATTGAAAACAGAAGCCAAACCCTTATTTTCCCACCATATTTGCAACCCTGCCCACACCTATCCATTTCCTCTTCTCCTCCTGGAACAATGCAGGAGGGGCCTGTCCACCCATCCACCCTATGACACCACCAGGTTGAGACCTGCCAGCTGGTGACCAGGAGCCTCCTGCTGGCAAAAGTGTTGCTTTCAGATCAAGTCCCCCCTGCTCAGGGAGCGTGGACACAGCTCTGGGAAACTGAGGGCCACTCTCCACCTTCTAGGGGCACCTAGCAGGTGCTTTATAAATGTCTGGTGATGAATGGACCTGGGGCAAAACCCCCAGCCTGGGAGTTGTAGGGAGAACAGGTGGGGCAAGGAGAGAGCTGTCCTCTGTGGTGCTGACAGCCAGGACTGTAAAGCCCAGAACTGGAGGCAGGGACAGAGCCGCATGTCACTGTGCAGCAGCCCTGAGCAGGGGCTGGAGTCACAGCAGAGCTGTGATGAGAAAGCATGGTGTCAGACTATAGATAGGCAGAAAGGAAAGAGAGCAGCAGGGGAGACTTGTGTCCAGGTATGGAATGGACAGGAAGGCGAGGGATTGCTGGTAATGAGTACACACCACAGTGAGGGAGGGTGACAGCAGTCAGACCTGACATACTCTCAACCTGATTTAATGTAAACGGAACATGGATTACAGCCACTGACAAAGGACTCCCTCCTTTGTGTGACTAATTACCAAACAAAAGAATTACTGTGGTTACCTTGAAGCAAATGCCTATTTACTTTTTTTGTTATATTTGATTACAGTAATAAATTCTTCATAAATATGCAGCCTCTATCATCTTTTCCCTCCAAACAAACATGGCTCATAACATGTAAAGACAAAACGAAAAAGAACCAAAAGGTCACCTTAGGTGGCTGCAATGGCAGGAGGGAAGAGGGAGAAAGGGTGTGAAAAACACCCCCTGGAAGGTCACAGCTTTGTGAACAGACTGTGGGTGGAGGGCGGGGAGTGAGCCTCCCTGCAAGTCGGGGGCCGGCTTCACTCCCTGGTGTGGGTCAGCTGGTGCTTGAGCAGCTTTGAGCGCTGGCTGAAGGCCTTCCCACAGGCAGTGCAGTCGTAGGGCTTCACTCCCGTGTGAATCCTCTGGTGCTGGATAAGGACTGAGCGCTGACTGAAGGACTTCCCACACTCAGTGCACTTGTAGGGCCTCTCACCAGTGTGGATGATCTGATGTTGAATGAGATGTGAGCTCTGGCTGAAGCCCTTACCACATTCAATGCATGTGTATGGCTTCTCTCCAGTGTGAACTTTCTGGTGGTGAATGAGGTTTGAGCTTCGGTTGAAGGCTTTACCACACTGGTTGCACTCATGGGGTTTCAATCCATTATGGATTCTCTGATGCTGAATGAGAGTTGAACTCTGGCTGAAGGTTTTTCCACACTCGGTACATTCATAGGGTTTCTCTCCAGTGTGAACTCGTTGGTGAAGGATAAGGTTAGAGCTGCGGCCAAAGGTCTTCCCACATTCCTGACACTCGTAGGGCTTGTCACCCGTGTGCACACCCTGGTGCTGAATGAGGGCGGAGCTGTGGCTGAAGGCCTTCCCGCAGACGCCACACTCATAGGGCTTTTCTCCCGTGTGGATTATCTGGTGCTTTCTGAGCACTGAGCTGTAACTAAAGGCCTTTCCACACACATTACACACATGAGGCTTCTCTCCAGTGTGAATTCTCCGATGTTGAATGAGGCTTGAACTCTGACTGAATGCCTTCCCGCAGTCACTGCATTTATAGGGTTTCTCTCCTGTGTGAACCCGGTGATGCTTAATGAGATTGGAGACCCGGCTGAATGGCTTGCCGCACTCATTACACTCATAAGGTCTCTCTCCAGTGTGTACCCTCTGGTGCTTCCTCAGATGAGAGCTCTGGCTGAATGCCTTCCCACACTCTTTACACTCAAAAGGCTTTTCGCCTGTGTGAATCCTGTGGTGTTTGATGAGGTTGGAGCTCCGTCTAAAGGCCTTCCCACAATCGTTGCACACATAAGGCTTCTCCCCAGAATGAATTCTCTGATGTTGGATAAGGTTTGAGCTCCGCCTAAAAGCCTTCCCACACTCACTGCATTCATAGGGCTTCTTGCTCATGTGAGACTTCTGGTGCTTCTTAAGGCTGGAATTCTGGCTGAAAGCTTTTCCACAGTCATTGCAAACGTAAGGCTTCTCTCCACCATGGGTGACCTGATGCCTAATGAGGTCTGAGTGCACATGGAAGGCCTTTCCACATTCGCTGCACTGGTAGCGCTCACTCACAGGAGACCTCCCATGATTTTTAAGAACTGAATTCTGGCTGAGGGCTTTTCCGCATTCATTACCTACGAAGGACTTCTGTCCAGTGTGCATGATCTGATGCTGAATTAGATCAGTGTTTCCTCTGAAGGTTTTCCCACACTCATTACATATGAAGGTGCTTTCAGCTGTGTGGGGACCCTCGTGGCTAGTGAGGTCCATGCTGTGTTGGCCACACGTGTACAGATGTGGCCTCTCTTCCACAGAGATTCCTTGATATGCCGCTGGGTGTTGGCTCTGACTAAAGTCTCTCTCAAAATCATCACAGTGCATCTCTCTCTCCCCTAAGGGGCTGGCAAGGAGCACTGCCACTGGCGTGAGGTCCTCCTCTCCGAAGAGGGACTGCGCCTGGCTCGTGTCATCAGGGACTCCCCAGTCTCTTTCTAATACGTCCTCACAGAGTTCTCCAAGCTCAGGTGCCAGGGAAACATCACTGGTACAGCTTTCTAATATTTCTGCCTTTGATTCTAAATCCTCAGAAACATCTTCCTTCTGAAGAAACTCCTTGCCCTCAATCCTGGTGTCCCAATCTGAAATGACAAACATAAAGTCACTTGGAAGGAAACGGGAAAATACAGTCTGGTGGGACCCACTGGGGGTGGTAGTCCCAGATCTGTCAAAGGGACCAGGGAGGGTCAGGGAAGTTCCAAAGGGACAAGGTAGTATGGCAAGTGAACACCAACCTTTAGCCACCTGCCCCAGTACCCACATCTCAGGAAATCACCTGAAGTCTATCTATTGGTTTAGGCTAATCATGTCAAACTCAAAGGTGAACACGGACCAACTAAACAAGGTTTAATTTATGTGTCCCAAAAAAACTCAAAACAAAACAAAAAAACCTTCAATTTTCATGGAAACGTAGGTTGATTTCGATAGAGACATGCTAAATACAAAGGGCTGAAATAAATGAGTAATTGTTAACATAAAATAATATGACATTTTAATAAAAATTAATATTTTTTTCTTGAACATTAAGTTATCAGACACTGAATAACTGCACAAATAAGCGTAACGCAAATAAACCCATCTTTCTTTTTCTCTGAAAGCGAAATATTTCCTGTTGTGAACACCAAACAAGTCAGCACAAGACTAATGATGTGCAGTCGGTTGCTAAAATATTCGCTGCTAGCATTCGTGGAGAGAAATGGTGTGCCAGTGGGTAAGGGAAATGAATGCAACAGGATTATAGTAATCAATCGTTAGTGAACGTTGTAGTTCACTATTAATAATTATGTATAACAGGATATTGTAAAAATTAAGTCACAAAATTTTTATTAAAATGTTTCTTACATACTGTTATATTGGCTGGGTCACAAAAATATTCGTTGTGGGCTGCATGCGGCCTGTGGGCTGTGAGTTTGACATGCTTGGTTTAGGCCAAAGTCCCAGGGGCCCCTTGACTGCCCTTCTTCTCACCCACAGCAGGTCATTAGCAAGTCCTGTTGTCTGTATCTTGGCGTGTGTCCCAAACCCAGGCACTCACCCCTCCCACCTGTACAAGGAAAACATTACATGCCCTGCATGACATTGTAAACATTTCACCCATTCTTCTTTTCCATGATGCACATTGTAAGCTTCTTGAGCCCATGTTGTTCACTCAGTGCTAACTAGTGGCTTCTGGGCTTTGCTGTGGGGCAGTCACTATGGGGGGAGGTGGGCCCAGAGAAGCAAAGTTGGTTCCAAGTGTGTGGTGTGGACTCCTGTGCAGTCTCAGATTCTGTCCTTTTTAACACAGGAGGCTTCAGAGACCGTGCCCTGTCCTGCCAAAGCCACCTTTACCTTCTAAAACCTGCAAATGTGACTGGTGTCCGCTGAACAATTTCTTGCCCTGGTACAATGTTTAGGCGGCTGTGTCCATCTTTCTGAAGGTTCCATGGCACAGCAGAAGGGTTTTGGCACCTCCCTCTTGTCTCTTCATGCCTGAAGGAACAAGGAACCCTCGTTCTCCTGAGTCTCTCATTTGAATGAAGATCTTGAGTCTTTATCTCATTCAAATTGTGACACCCAGGCCATACTGCTGCTGTCTTCTCCTGCCTGGACATTGAGTCAAGCCCCTGGCCTCCCACCTTCCTCTCCTGCCCATAGGCAGCCTGGTGAAGGCAGAGAACTTCATCCTTCTAGTCCCTCCCTGAGCTCACCCCAACCCTGCTGTTGCTGTTTCCCAAGCATGGTAGATACCCTCCCCTAGGGTCTGCCTTGTGTGGAACACACCTCACTGGAAAGGCCTTCTCTGACCACCACTCCTCCTTGTTGTCTCCTGCAGCCCAGACTGTGCCCCAACAGGGCTCACGTCCCAGGACTGGGGCAATCCCTTGTCTGGCCATAGTCAGTAGTGCTAAGGGGATCGGTAAAGGACACCCCTCTTGCACTTCCCAGCCTCCTTGGGCCCGTCACCTTCCAACCTGTCCTTCAATTCAGGTTAACACCACCTGGAACTTTAGGAATTTGCTACCACAATAGCACTGTCTCCCTGGCTCGTCTGGATGCTTCTGTTCTCAATGCAGACCTGGCATAGCTACATGCTCAGTCTGTCTGCCCACCACACCCATGCATCACCCAACCCATGGTCCAGACACACTATGCTGTGGCAACCCAGGATCAGGAGCCCGAGGTGTCCAGGGAATGTCTACATGCTCCTGGGCTCCGCCTCTCCTCTCTGACATACACATGACTGCCCCACACCATCTCTGCCCTTAGCCCAGCCTTCCTTGGCCACAGTTTCTGACTAGGGTACTCCGTTCAGATGTCCCAAGTATAACCGTCCCATGTAGGACACAAGGATGTCCTCTTGTACAACAGCCCTCATCAGATCCCAGTAAAGAAAGCTAATACTGAGTAACCATCCTGATCGCCACTGAGAGGTGCACAGAAGAGCTAAGCTAGTGAGCGGTTAGGAAGGACTCTCTGGTCAGGCTCTAAAGAGGATGGAAGCAGCTGGGCAGGAAGACAGAAGACAGAGTGGGCAGGACCAAGACCTGGCAGAGCTCTGAGGGAAGAGGACTATCACCACCCGGTGGTTGGGCCAGACAGGGATCATCTGGCAACCATCACACTGCACCCCTCTATGTCAGGCGGGGAAACCGAAGTGTCACACTCAGTGTACCAGGGCAGCCAAGGTCCAGGCCAACTTCCTTTCTGGCCTCTAGCCTTGGACCCTGAAGTTCATGAAGCACTCCACCCCTAATTATAACACAGATAACTAATGGGGATCGCAGGGTGACACAAAGTCCCCTCAGAATGAGGGCACCAGTGGGGAACTAGGTCCCAGTACCTGGCTGCTGATGGTGAGGGGGGGTGGTTCCCAGCTCAGTGTCACTGCAGTAGAGTGGATCAGAGAATGCAGATGCAGGGTGGGTCACGGTGGTAGCATCACTCACACAGGCCTGGGCTGAAGGGGTCCAAGGGGACGGTCCAGGAACTGAGGGCTCCATTTCTGCCTCTTCGGGGCGAGCTCTGAGGCTGGGCATGACTGGGACCTGGAGGCCAGAAAGGACACTGTTGAGTGTGCAGGAGGGCAAGCCCCAGGGACCATCCTCCCCCCCTGCAGCCCAAGGCCTGAGGGGAACCTGGTGCTGGGTCTCGGGCATCACACCACATTCCCTGACCCTGGATCCAAGTGGAGTGTCAGCCACCCACAGGGACAGACTCATGAGCCAGAGCCCCAGGTGGGCAAGGTGGGTACACAGTGCCCTGTGGGCACACGGGAAGAGCCCAGGCCTGCCATGACAGGCAGAGAGCAGCCCCACAGAGCCTTCACCCACTGTGGGCCCGCCCTCATTCCTGACAATGCCCTGAAGGTGGACCACCTGGCCCACTCACAGGAGGACCAGCAGCCCCAGATTTTGGGTAGCCAGGGGCAGCCTGTGCTGCATACAGGTGCATGGTCATCATGGTGGCATCCCAGTGGTCAGTTCTGTCAGAGCTGGGCCCTCCTGGCAGCATCCACAGTAGATATCCTCATCACCTCCCTCCTGGGCTATCCTCTCTGCACCAGTGGCTCCCTCCAAGGTTCTTCATCTCCCTCTTCGCATTGGTGCTCCAGGGTTCACTTCTGTGCCTACTCCAACTTCCTGTTAATTTGTCCAGACGGGAGGCATCTACAACGCTTATCCTGTAAAGACTCCCAAACTGGGCTCATCTCTTCAGCCCTAACTGTTCCCTCTGAGCAGGAAGACAAAACATTCCCACCTGGATAGACACACGACAAAGTGTCACACTCAGGACACCAGGGCAGCCAGTCCAGGCCAACTTCCTTTCTGGCCTCTAGCCTTGGTCCCTCAAGTTCATGAAGCACTCTGCCCCTAATTATAATACAACTAATGGGGATCGCAGGGTGACACAAACAAAGTCCCTCCAGAAGGAGGGCACGAGTGGGGAACCTGGTCCCAGTACCTGGCTGCTGATGGTGAGGGGGGGTGGTTCCCAGCTCAGTGTCACTGCAGTACAGTGATACTGAGTCCCCCACCCATCCTACTGCTCCATCTTTGTGCAAATCCAGTACGTCCAGTAGCTCACCCAGGAGTTGGGCAACACCCCTTACTTAGCTCCTTTTTCACACTGTACCATCAATAGGTACATTGACCCCTCTACCATTGCCTGCCAACCTATGGACTGGATTTAAAAATTTTTTTTTTTTTTTTTACTGATTTGAGAGAGGGAGGAAGAAAGGGAGGTGGGGAACAGTCATTTGTTGTTCCACTTATTTATGCATTCAATTTTGATTCTTATATGTGCTTTTACATAAGCCTTTTGTATCAGAACGATGCTCTAACTGAGCTGCCTGGCCAAGTTGGATTTTTCATCTTGGAAACATCTTTTCAGTGTTTCCCCAACAACCACCATATGCCGATCAGGGTTTGTCTGGGGATGTTGTGTGGATACAGCAGTGAGAGTGACTCAGGGACTCAGTGGGGAGACAGATCATAGCAAATGCATCAGTGAGATGGGCAAGTGTTCTGGGGAGAGGCAGCAGGGGAGGGGCGGGGCCCTGGGGCTGGGGAGCATTTAAACCAGGTGCAGAGAAGGGTTTTAGGCCAGACCTGCTTAGAAAGGTGGAAGAAGGCATGCGTGAGATGGGACAGAAGTGTGGATGGAGCTCAAAGACAGGATTACTGGGGAGGCAGCCCATAAGAAGCCTTGGCTGTCTATGGTGAGGTACCAGCCACATTTCTATGTTACGAAAGAGACAGAACTAACGAACCATGCCAGGAAGATTAGCTTGGTAAAGGTGGTAAGGAGGACGGCATAGACGAAATTCAAAGCAGGGACAGCACTGACTTAAGACACCTGTCCATGTGGCAGCAGAACAGAGCAGATGTTGCTTCCATGGTACGTGTGTGTGCGCGCGGGGGTCGGGTATCACGCTCCCTCTCCGAAGGGGAGACTCGGTCATTTGCAATATTCAAGCAGTTCATTTAATTTTAAGATTCTTGAAATCATTATCACTGCCACCAAATGGGCACAACCATATGGCTCAAAATTCAAAAGGTAGAAAAGGACTTAGGAAGCATCTCCCAGCCAGCCACTCAGCCCCCTTCCCAGTTTCTAATGTCCCCTTCCGTATTATTCTAAGCTACATTTTGTCTTTTCACTATAAAGTGTAACAAACTGTGGTCATTTTAGATCTTGTTCTTCTCACCCCAGTACATGTGGCATCTTTGCCAGGAGGACATATAGACCCAATCTGTGGTGGCCAGAATGCCCGTCTCACCCATGTCCACAGCCGAATGCCTGGAATCTGTGGATACGCTACATTACACAGCAACACAGACTCTGCAGAGGGAATTGAGGTTATGCGCCCGGGTTTCCTGAACCCCAAGAAATGACATGCGTGGTCGCTGACTATGAGCCACAGGGGTCACGTGCAAGGACTGGGGCCTCCAGGAGATAAAGGAGTCAGCGAGGAAACATGCCCTCAGGGCAACGACCTCGAGAAACTGGATGCTGCCGCTGAACTTGGAAGCAAATTCTCAGGGCTCAACCTGGTGCTGAGCAGGGACAAGTGGAAGGACAAGCAGTCACCAGTCCAGCACAGGCATCCACAGGAGGGCAGGACCCACCCCCACCCCACTCCCACTCCCACGAGAGAGCAAATTCCCCCGACTCCCCAGAACCCCTTCTCCGTCCGGAGAGCGAATCCACCACGGACGAGGCCTCCAAGCGCTGCCTCCGGTGCTGCGCGACAGCCCACCTTTCGCCGAGTCCCCGCGGCCCTTCCTCCCCCCAAGCCCACGCTCCGGGACAGCACTCACCGCCCAGCTGCCCAGTCACTCTGCGGCCGCTGCGCCAGGGGGTCCCGCTGCCCGGCTCCGGACAGGAAGGTCACCCGCCGCGGTGCACCCTCGCAGAGCGTCACCCAACCCCCCACGAGGGCTCGGACCCGCCCCGGCCCAGCAGACCCCGCCCCTCGCCCGCGGTTCCCACGCCCCGCTCCCGTCTGCGCTAGACAGTCCGGGGGAGCACCCACCGCGTGGGCACGGACATCACGCGGGACAGTGGTCGGCACGGTCCGGGGGTCGCTCTGGGAAGCGGCAGTGCTGCGGCCGCTCAGTGGCTCGGCCGGGAGGCGGACTCCGGAAGTCCCGCCCCCACTTCCTGTCGGAGGGCCGAGCCGGTGTTGCCGCTCTAGGCGGCTGGAGGCTGCAGCGACGCGGAGGGTCCGCCCCGGACCCCAGCGTAGACGGAGTTCCCAGCCGGGTCGCCGCAGACAGAACCCGTCCATGCAACTAACGGGGTGGTAACTAAATAGAAAAAACACCGATTAGAAATGCAGGTAGAATGAGATATACCTCTGTGTGGACTTTGATACGCAACTTCTACAATCTGAACAGACTGTAGGTTGATAGAAAAACAAGACTGCACGTGCAAGTCCTGAATCCCTCAATCAAATGATTACAACCAATAGATGGAAAAACTCAAATTCCTCAGACATTATACACTTCCTGAAACTCTTCATGGGACATTTACAAAAATTGATGATACACTTAGACATAAAGAATACCAATATTTTACGGTATGCATTATACAGGCAGATTAAACTTTCAAAATTAGAAATACAGAAAAAGCTGATTTAAAAACCTTAAAGCATTGTAATTTACAAGACAGTATCTACATAACCTTTGGATAAAAAATGATACTAGCTGGGCCTTACCTGGTTTTTCTTAGTAGTTAGAGCGTTGGCTCAAGGACGGAAGGGTCTCAGATCCCACTTCTAGGAATATATCCTAAGAAACCCGAAACACCAATCAGAAGAGTGTATACACCCCTATGTTCATAGCAGCACAACTTTTGATAGCTAGGATCTGGAAACAGCCCAAGTGTCCATCAGTAGATGAGTGGATAAAAAAGCTGTGGTACATTTACACCATGGAATACTATGTAACAGTAAAAAAAGAAGGATCTCTACCCTTTGAAACAGCATGGAGGGACCTGGAGAATATTATGCTAAGCGTAATAAGCCAGTCAGAGAAAGACAAGTATCACATGATCTCACTCATATGTGAAATCTAATGAATAAAATAAACCGATGAATAAAATAGATCCAGAGACATAGAAGCATAGAACAGACTGAGGAATCTCAGAGGGAAGACGGGGAAGGGTGAGTGGGTGGGAAGACATCAAGCAGAGAACTTGTATGCATATATACATAACCCATGGACACAGACAACAGGGTGGTGAAGGTCTGGGGTGGAGGGTGGGGGTGGGGTGGGGGTGGGGTGGGCTAGAAGGGGTCAATGGGGGAAAAAGGGGGACATGTAATACTTTCAACAAAAATATTTTTAAAAAATCAAAACATGCCCTAACCGGTTTGGCTCAGTGGACAGAGCGTCGGCCTGTGGACTCAAGGGTCCCAGGTTCAATTCCGGTCAAGGGCATGTACCTTGGTTGTGGGCACATCCTCAGTGGGGAGTGTGCAGGAGGCGGCTGATCAATGTTTCTCTCTCATCGATGTTTCTAGCTCTCTATCCCTCTCCCTTCCTCTCTGTAAAAAAATCAATAAAATATTTATAAAAAAATCAAAACAGGTGTTTTTATTGGATTTTGTTAAGTTTGTTAAGTGTATAGGCTTATTTGGAGGAAAATTAATACCCTTATAATAGTAAATTTTCCAAATACAGTAATATAGAATGTCTCTTCATTCATTCAAGTTGTCTATTTTGTTGTTGTTAATCCTCACCTGAGAATATTTTTTCCCATTAATTTTTAGAGAGAGTGGGAGGGAGGGCGAGAGAGGAAGAGAGAGACATTGATTTCAGACACATCATGGTTTGCCTCTCCCACGTGCCCTAACTGGGGCCTGGGATTGAACCTGCAACCCAGGTACATGCCCTTGACCGGGAAATCGAACCCACGATCCTT